CAAAATTATAAAATGATGAAGAATAAAACGCTCGGCATAGTCTATCCCCTCAGCTTTGCGCTATGCACATTTAACCTCATCGGGCATCGTAGTGCTGTTTGAATGCGTATAAGGGTTACGCGGCAACTTGCGAAAATCTATTGGTCTCTTTGTCTATTGGTTAGTCGTTGCTTTTATTTTTCCAGACAAGTCTGGTACCAGCTGCCGATACAAGAGGGATGGGAAGCTCACTTGGCCTTGGTGTGTTGTATTGTATATGAGCTCGAAGAAAAAGCGATTTACGTGTTGTGGCAAGACACCTCTAAATACTGCACTGCATACGAAAGTATTGGTTGTGTAAAGGTTTAAGGGTCCAAGTTTAGCAGTAGATCGTGTGGAGGCGGAAACAAAGACAGAGCAGAGCTCGCGTTCTCATTTCTCCATTGCCACACATTTTGTTAATAAATTTTAACTGCTCGCTTTTTTTAAAAAGACTCACCCAAGCGTAAAGTAAAAGAACGATAGCAGAAAACGTACGACATTTCAGCTGACGTTTTAGAAGAGTAAACAAATTCTCGAACCAGTTCTTTGGCTGCTAACTTTTCTTACGTTTTTTACCAGCTTTTTGTCAAAAATGTTTCCTAACAATTGCTGCATTATTGTAACTACTGCACTGTTGCTTTTAGCCTACTTCTCAATAGTTAATTATTTAGATGTGAAAGATTCGATGATGTGAAATGATGAGAAGTAGTACCTCGGAGATCCATTCTCTGGCAGGGTTATCGTAGCTGAGGATTACAACAACCACATCCGGAGGTCCATTTAGCAATTCGCTTTTTCCAGAACGGCGGCTATTCTGAAACAATCTCAGGACTTCAGTTTTTAAGGCACAGTGATCGAAGCGCGTGTTGGCATTCTTCCGTTGATGACACCCAAGGGGGCACAGATAGTCTCACTGACCACTGATTATCTGTTCTACTTCCCGTCGAAGCACAAAGGAATACTATCGTTCGATAGAATTTCCTTTATTGGGAAATAGTCCGACCGCCTTGAATAACCGACTTTTGATTCAAGATAGGTATCGTACGGTAACAATGCTGCTTTCTACGCCGCTGTGGGTTTCAGACGACCGAACCACTGTGGCTTTCAGACGACCGAACCACTGTGGTGGTTCTCACGACCGGCTTTCTATTAAGTTCCTCACTGATCAAATAATTTTCTATATTCTGGTTGGGCAACCACGAGGCATTGCTTTATCCTTTATTACTGTGGAGCTGACGCTTCGGAGGATTTCGACAGCTATTTTATTTGTGTAAAAGAGAATCTAATCGGTAAACTTGAAGTTAAGCCTAGTGCCCCACTGGGCGTTCATAAGACACAGAGACATAACGAGGAGAATTTTAAATTATAAGTTACCATCCTCGAAGAAAAATTGAAAACTTCAGCGCTTTTCCTCACACAGTATTTCGCCTTACCTAGTATCTTAATATAAGGGGCACATTACACTTCCTTGTGAACTCTGTCCGTTTGGTTTCCACGTGACGCATTCAGTGGAAGTTATACTCATAGAAAGCGGTGAGTATGCAAAGAAGTTATTTTGTTTTCAATGTGACTGAAATCTTGGTTTAGCATTTTCTCTGTTTAGTTATGGAGGTGTTCGGCTGGGTGGATTGCAGTCAGCTTGACCTTTCTAGGCTCTGAAAAAGGCGAAATTCACCGAAACGTCTGGTTTGCTGTAATAAAGAGTAAGGTGAAACATTCTGTTTGCACAACAAGACTATAGAGAACTAGTGGTGGGTTTGAACGGCACATCTGCGAACCCGATCCATTCATAGAAGTATGGTTTCACCAGCAAATACTTTATTCGTAATTGCCAACTTTCAGTAGCAAAAATATAAGGAAAACAACCGATACTTAAAGATTGTGAAATACAAGTGCTAAATAGGTGATAATATCGCCTAAAGAGGGAAAAGGTATCATCTAGAAAAGACAAAACACAAAGTATGATTTGTTGCATTCTCAAGAGATTTGTTAGAGGGTCAGGCCAAATCTAATGATTAAAACAAAGCAAAAGAAAGAAAGCAAAGTTGTCAAAGCTGAGTATCAGGTAGGTGCAGCTGGAAACAAGGCCATGTTGAAGGGCGTAGAGATGAAGGTTCACACTTCCGACATCATTCTTACAAATTCTTCGTAATCAATCTCACCGTTGCCTGAATCGGATCACCAGTAAATTACCATTTCCTTCACTACACATTTATGAAGAACTTTTTTTTTAAGACAGTAGGAAGTTTTATGCAAGTATTCATTAATACTCAAATGAAAAAGTTAAGAATAAAGTATTTTTATCTTTTTTTACATCAGCCGTCATCGCGTCTATTATGCGGACAGGGTTTCTCGCATTCGATTCATTTTCCTAGCACTTATCGTCCACAGTGGTCTTCGAACATTTCGCGTGTTATTTCGGCTGCTGCATGAGGATTTCCTCTTCTTTACGATTCTCGTAGAATGCTGGTCGAGTCAATTCCCACTGCAATCCTGGTTATAGCCGGGCTAAGGCGTTCGCTCGTGGATCGAAGAGTGAGGGGTGGGGATCGAACTAGAGCCCTTTGCATCCTGATCGACGGCGTCATTAACCACTGCTTTGCCCCCACTCTAAGAGTTAAGTTAAAAGGAACCAAGTATATGAAGCCAAAAGTAACAGATAAGATGAATAAATACCACGGCGGAACAATTAGCGAATTAATATTCACTGGTTAATTAAGGAAAAACTCTACTAAATATGAATGCGTCGTTTTCTCGTTAAGCAATCACGAGGTTGTTAAACAGCATACATTTACTTCCATAGAGAAACTCAATGCAATACAATAGTAGCTGGCGTTTCGGCAGCATCGAAACCATCTCACATTGATGCAGGCATCAACCACATGCGACTATAATCAGCTGTTCAAAACTTCCTCATTGGAAGTCACGTAAAAAGCGGTGAGTTTCTCGAGAAGCTGTTGATCATGTAATTACCATAGAATTTTTCGTCTTTATGTAAGTGTTATTGAAGCGTTTGGCCTAGTAGATTGTATATCAGTGTGCCCTTCCAGGCTCTGAAGAAGGCGATACTGCCGAAACGTCAGCCAGTGTTGTATTGTATTGTGTTTTTCTATGGAAGTAAATGTATGCTGTTTAAAAACCTTGCGATTGCTGAACGAGAAAACGACGCATTCATATTCCAATGCCGAGGTTAATGGAAAGTCGATGCTGGGAAACTACTAGATATATCAATGTTGCTTGCCACAGCTAGGAAGTGAAACTGACCGTCACAATCCACTTCTCTCATCATCTCATCCACTTCTTGTTCACTGAACTGCATTCCCATGTGTATCTACAAAACGGAACTTCATTGAGCAGAACAGAAGGTGTAGCAAAGAAAAATGCTGCGATGCTGTTCTCGATCTCATGAAATACCGTCGTGAATAACTGTCTTTTTAGGTTAATTTGTGAGTGCTGGACGCTGAGAAGAAAATTTTAAGAGCATATTAACTGGTTGCTTAAAACCAGGCGAATACTAACTTTAAAAGTTTCAGAGGCCATCTAGACTTCCTCTACATTGAAGTCATCCTGATAACAATCTCTTCTTTTAGATAGAATAGTTTAGCATTGATTCATAAACTGAATTATTACTAACTCAAAAAGAAAAGGACATATGAGAACTAAGAAGACTACGCTCAATAAAATCGTTCCGCTTATTGTTAAGGCATTATCCAGCTCAACGGGCAATACTGTTCTTCTCTAATTTTCACTTAACATTTGGTCATCCATGTAAATGTAAATTGATTTCAGCACTCTTGCCAATTTAAAAATGGTTTTGAGAGTTTTTAATGACAGCGAGGCTCACTAAAAGTAGTGGATAGATGTGCTCTACCTGTTCTCTGGATATATCCCGAGTCCTGTTAGTCCCTTTGTGGTGGGCAAATTTCTATCAAACTTATCTCGATGGATAAAAACACTGACTTTATGCCCTCATAAGCAGCAGTTGAAACAACACGTGAGATACAACCACAACGTTGCTGAGATATTTGCAAAACTCTGGACCGCAGGTGTCTATGGTGGGGAACGAACGCGCTATTGTCCTTTCCGGGGAGTAACGCGTTCACCACCACACCATGCGGGTCCTTTGTTTCCCTGCCATGAAAATTATAGAAGGCAGAAAACAAAACGTTAAACATTGTGATTTCAACTACAGCCATAGCTTAACTGGGTTCTATGCCGATTTGCGCTCCCCAGATCAACCCCGCTGACGGGTGATTGCTGTGGCAAAAAGATCGATAGAAATAGCTGAGAGACGTGCGAAACAAAGGACCCGCATGGTGTGGTGGTGAACGCGTTACTCCCCGGAAAGGACAATAGCGCGTTCGTTCCCCACCATAGACACCTGCGGTCCAGAGTTTTGCAAATATCTCAGCAACGTTGTGGTTGTATTTCGCTTACTTAGTAACCTGCCATGAAAATTATAGAAGGCAGAAAACAAAACGTTAAACACGTGAGATGTTCGAAGAGTTTTGTAGACAATGAATGCGAGAAAAACAAATCGAATGCAAGAAATGTTGGGATCCGCACAGCGGAGTTGATGAGGGGCCATGTAAAATAGTCAAAAAAAAACGAGAATAAATTCAATGTCGAGGTTAATCGAAGGTCGGTTGTGGAAATAATAAATTCATTTAGAAGTTAGAGTTCTACAGTCATAGTGCCTTCGCACTGAAGAAGTTACTTTCCGTCTGTTCTGCTGGAAGATCAGTTCACGCATAAAACGTACCCTGCCTACTTACAGCCATCTACATATGTACATCTACACGTTGCAAGTCTATGCTTGGAAAAACTTCTTGATTGCTTGTCAGTACAAGTGAAAAGTGCCTTAAAACTACAGGAAGACAATGACTTGACTATGACGTTCTTCATTCTGGTAGAGCACTAGTCACTATAGTGTTTCGCATGTGAATGGCCTTTCTGAACATTACAAAGTAGGATAAAGTTCACGAGGTTACGATCACTTTTCCGCTTGTCCGTGTGTTTACGTCACAGAATCTGTCGCACACCCCGTTGACCAGCACTACGCAACTCACCATGAAATGTTTGAATTCGGATGCCGTGATCACTCCATTTCCATCCTTGTCGAACACCCGAAACGCCTCTCGAATCATCTCCGAATCGGTTTCTTTCATGATTCTGAAATGGAAGGTCGTTCTTGACCTCAAAGCTATCTCCCAATGCAATTTAGTTATGTTCTAGCATGTATACAAATTAGTTGTTACATAATAATAAGGATAAGGACAAAGCTGTCGGCGTTGATCAATTCCTGAGGGCACCATGCATTCGACTTCATTAAGCGTCGTTTGGAGGTGATCGGATGCATGTCTGGCCTTGACAATGGCTGGCGGTGGCCTACCGATGTATCAAACCAGTGCTGCTATCCTTTCAGACAAGTTTGGAACCAACTAGCCGACCCCGGAGAGATGAAAGGCTTGGTAGGCCAGAGATGCGGGAATCGATTTCATGTATATTGCAAGGCGCCTCGGATTACTGCACCACACACTCCCTTTATGTTACACAGCTCATGTTAATCAATGAAGATAGTATAGCGTCTGCCCTAATAATACCATTTGCTATCTAGTCACTGTAGTAAATGATTGAACACTTATTATTGACATTGGGTATTTCTTATAGCTGCTGTTGTTAGTTACTCTTGGCGATCTCAGATTGTCGCGAAATCACAATGCGACAGAAATTTGCATCATTTCATTTATTTCAAACGACTCCTCATCAACTCTGCCGTGCGGATCCCAACACTTCTTGAATCCGATTTGTTTTCCTCGCATTCGTCGTCCACATGCGGTTTTCGAACATTTCGCGTGCTGTTTCAGCTGCTGCTTGAGGATTTCGTCTTCCTTATGAAAGTCGTAGAATGTTCTTCGAGTCAATTCTTCTTACAATCTTAGAGATAGCCATGCTTAGACCTTCCCTCGTGAAATGGAGCGTTTGTTTGTTTCCCAATTCACGGGATCACTGACCACTGCGTTAAGCCACCACTTAGGCACCGCAATCGTTTTTTCTTCTATTAGAGTGGCTGGGACACTTTATAAGCTCAAATGGTAGGATTACTGATATGTCAGCTTCGAATTCCTGAACCACCTCAGAAATTCAAAGGTCGATCGATAATGTATTCAGAACACACTCACCTCTTCATCATCACACAGAATTCGGGGAATTCTATTTGGCCGTTGCCGTTGATGTCGACTTCGTTGATGATCTCGAGCATTTGCTGCAAGAACTTCTACTCACTGACAAAACTTGTCCGAAATCGCTTTGAAATTCTTTCTTCGTAACAAATTACTGCCCATACGCATTAATTTAAATGCGCGTGTCCTCCAAGTAACCTTTTACGCACATATTTCAGCTCATACTTGGTTTCATTAGATGAGGTAAGAACCACTAGAATTGTCAGATTTCTGTCAAAATTAAACAATTTTTTTACCACCGTTTCTTTAGTTCGCAAATATTTAAAGAATTGAAATAAAAACTTAAATCTTAGGAGAATATAGGGATTTGTAAGGTGATATGACAAATCTGCTCCATCGAAAATCTGTGATATTATCAGCTTCAAGGCAATGATAAATTTTTTAATATGACCCATCTTCACGTCTACTGTGCGGATCCCAGCACTTCTTACTTTCGATTCGTTTCCTCATATCCATCGTTCGCGGCGATCTTCAAACTTTTACATGCGGCTTGGGTTTCTGCTTGAAGATTTTCATTTCATATTAAATGTCGTAGAATGCTGGTCGAATAACTCTTCCTGGAGTCCTGAGCTAGCAGCCAGGGCTGGAGCGCTCCTAATTGAATTGCAGAGAGTGACTTTTTTCCCAGACAAGTCTGGTACCAATATTTCTCGAGCCCGAAGAGATGATAGGCTTGGTTGGCTTGGAGCGGAGTCGGACTAGCACCATGCTCGTGATGAATGGCATCACCACCACTGTGCTATCCGCCCCCTTGCGTACATATTATTTGGTCGCATTCAAATATGTGGATGCGATTCTTGCAATACTTGTCCACCAGACGGGTTCGCTCGCATTGCAAGTTTGACGTCACGTGTGCAGTAGGGCTTTCAGTGGCTTCTCTCACAAGCAGTGATGGTGCTGGCTAAATTCCGCTTTCATCTGCAGTCATGTAATAGGTTGAGCCCAAGGAGTCGTTGTTTTTACTTCCAATCAATTCCTGTCTTTGTGTATTTGTAAGGACTGTTGCAATATTGGAAGTGAGCTGACATCAATCAACTTGAGATGTGTTTCAGACTTAACTCGACTCTTGTTTTTACGAGAATACCACACGTTTCCTTAGCATGTGTTACTTATAACAGGAACTGTCACGCCGAAATGCGACTTTCGGAATGACTTCCTGAGCACTGGGAGATGCTATGCCTTCGAAATTATAGAAATTAATACTGCAGAAATAAAAAGCAAAAAAAGCAAAAGATAGACTACTCGTTGCTAATTTATCTATTAAGCAATGCCGCGTTCACTCGACTCCATTAGATAAGATAGAGATGAATGAAAGCATAATTGACCTGCATAAGTGCTTACTAGGCTTTTTTCTGCACAAAGCCTGTAGTCTGCATACCTTCTCCTGTGGAAACACGGTACCATTTTGGGCGGGGTGCCAGATGAAACACGAAACCGCAGGCACGGCAGAACAATTCTACCCACTACATTACGCGTCCCAAAAGCGCACTGAGCTCTTGCAGTCCACATAACAACATATTTTAAGAAGACCGTAAAGTACTTTTGGCAAAGCAATTTACTCCAAGAAGAGTGATCGAAATGACCACTCCAAGTGCTTTAGCTCCCCATGAAAATTGCCATACAGAGTAGATTAAGAACAGCAGATGAGATTCAAAATGTTGAAAAAAAGAATTTTAGGCAGAGACTTCTTGTCTTGTCCAAACCGACGACCATATCATCCCGTCGGTGACGGTTAAGCACGAGAAATCGTTCGGCACATCGTTACGATCTTATTAGCACTCATCGATCAAAAGGTGAGACTGTGTACTCAGGAACGTAATCCGATTGCTACGACAACTCTACAACAATACTAGAACGATCCAAAGTATTGAGCTCATTTCGTCGAGGATCTTCAACCGTGTTGTGGGATTGACCGTGTTGAAGACGTTCGATTAGGAAGGAAATGGAATGTACTTCTGTGTTATTCTTTTTTCTCAGACCATTGTTACTCATAAAAATTGTAGAAATCAGGAAAACAGGATTGGAATAAGTCGAAAGAAAACAGAATTTTAAAACCAACGCTATAAAAGAGTATGGACCGAAACAGATATTTCGTTGATAAAGGGACCAAATCTCGCATCAGAAACTAAAGGTTTACTGGCGGATCCTAAATTTGTGCACACCTTATCGATTCAGTGATCTTTCTGGTGCTCTGATATGCAGCCGACATGAGAATTAATACCTCAACTGTGTCAATAATTCCTACTGAACCCTCGTGTGATGTTTGCTGAAATATAACCGGCTCCCAGAGCATCTAGTCAGGCTGTACAGTTCAGGCATTCAAAAGTTTTTCCATCGAGATTTTAAATGTATATGGGCCAGTCAGAGGGAAAAAGGTTGCCGAGAAGAACAATGAAGGACTACAAGTGGGAATGAATGCGTCATCTAACACCCTCATGTACATGATTGGTGTTCGTGGAATTTACCGACCAGTCCTCCATCTCCTAATCTCCAAACAAGATTTGTGAGTTTAAATCAATATGTATCCGGGTCCTGTAAACTGGTTACCATCATGAACGGCAACTGCGAACGAAAGAAAGGAACAGAAAATCTGCCGCGATCTGCACTACAAATGCCAGCAGCTAACTAATAGTTTTACATTTTACCTGGCTTTTAGGTTTTATTCTTTTTAGTGTCTAGATCGGAAATTGTGTCGCCCATTACTTTTATTTGGGTAATGCTACAGACCACTTTTACAATATCCACTAATTTTCAGATAAAGGAGTCGCAGCTCCTAAATCTGACTTTACGCGGTTGTCATATCCACTGTGCCAATGTGGACTCTAGCAGTTTTCGCATTCGATTCTTTTTGCTTGCGTTCATCGTCTGCAATGGGCTTCGAAAACTTTGCTTGTTGTTTCAACTGCTGCATGAGGATTTCCTCTTCTTCACGATTTTTGTTGAATGTTAGGCGAGTTGACTCTCTCTGTAATCTTTGAGATAGCCGGGCTAAGGCGTTTCTGAGTGGACTGGAAGAAACCGTTCGGGAAAGGGTCGAACTAGCACCTTTGCTTCCTTACTGACAGCATCTCTAATCACGGCGCTGCTCCCCTTTCCCATTCGGTTCGCCGATTTTCTAAGCGCCTCTTTCATTAGTTGCTTGGCCTAACAATCGAGGTTGAATAAATTCATAAACATGAAAACACTTTTTTGAAGGACCATCTCCCAACTTGAATACTTTCTGATGAGTCATCCTTCCATCGCTTTTCACTTACTTTCCTAAATGTCACTTATAATGCTAATTAATTCTAAGATTCTCAGGATCGACTTTCTATTAACCTCGGCATTGGAATATGAATGCGTCGTTTTCTTGTTCAGCAATCGCGAGGTTTTTAAACAGCATACATTTACTTCCATAGACAAAAACAATACAATACAACACTAGCTGACGTTTCGGCAGTATCGCCTTCTTCAGAGCCTGGAAGGGTATGCTGATATACAATCTACTAGGCCAAACGCTTCTCGAAAAACTCACCGCTTTTTCATGACTTCCAATGAGGAAGTTTAGAACAGCTGATTATAGTCGTATGTGGTTGATAACTGCACCATCCCACATCAAAAATCGATGCGAACATACGGGGTCAGGTCGCGTATGACCTCTGGGCATTCCTTCCTGCTATTCATTGTAGGGTTTTTGGCATTTATCCAAAAAGCCTCAAGTTTTCGCGCTGGTGTTTTGGACTTCTGTCCAAGGATATTGACTTTTACTTCAAAATCGTCTCCGCTATGCTTTTGTATCCTATGCGTGCCTAGTGTGGTGCTTCGTCCTAGTTTTCGTTTGCCATCTAGGTGTCCTTTTACACGGATACACAAAGGTCTGCCCGTTTCGCCAATATATTCATCTCCGCAATTATTACAAGAGATCAGGTATAACGTACCTGAAGTCATGCAATCACCGTCCCTGCCGTAAAGGCAAATTACGCAATTTGTTGTTTTACACAGACGGTCATACAGGCGGTTACGAACTAATTGACGACGTAGAGTAGCCGGTGGTATTTCAACTATCGCTACCGATTCCTCCAGACCTGCCCTTCTTAAGCATCGTTTTATAGCTACGCTTACTCCATCGCTTATAAAAAGCAACATAAACGGGATTTTGTTTTGGCCAAGTGTTTCGCGTGGGCGCGTCGTTCTCCTTGTAAACTTATCTCATGGGGTTACTATTTCGTAGCCATTGGAGATGGCTATTTGCCGAGCGAAGTCGCGCGACTCTTCCTTTAGTTCCCTGGTAGTGCACACAGAGGTGGCTGTTCGAAACATGTTTCTCACAATCGCCCTCTTTGTGTGTGAAGAGTGGGAAGAAAGGAAATGAACGAGGATGCTCTTGTTACTTGGCTTTCGGTACCACTTTGTCAAGTAACCGCTACTTGATAGGTTTATTTGAACGTTTAAAAACGGAAGCCAGTTTTTTCTCGGGTTTTCCCGGTTGAACTTTATGTACTCAGACTGCTCGTTCAATAATTCAAAGCATTTGTCCATCTCCTCTTGCGTAGAGAAGACGACAAAACAATCATCTACATATCTGCAGTAGAGTAGTGGCCGGAGATCGAGAACAGGAGCTTCTATCTTAGACATAAACACAATGGTAAGGCTTGGAGCCAGCCGCTGTCCTATTGCCAACTCCCTTATTTGCGCGAAATATTTTCCAGACCATCTGAAAATCGAGCAGATTAGGCACTCCTTTAAGAGAGCCATTAGCTGCTGGATGGACAAGCCATGCATATTTATTCGTCCTTCATGTTCAAGAAGAAGTTCGAAGATGGCTTGCATTGCGGAGTCATTCAACACGTTGGTGTAAAGCGCGGTAACGTCGAGAGACTCCATCACGTACACGTTATTAGGAGATGCGTTACGTAGACGTTCTAGGAACAAACACTAAAAGGGCGCTTATAAGAAATATGTTTCGAACCGCCGCCAGCGTGTGCACAGGTAGAGGGCAGAAGGATGAATCCGGCGAAACTGGCGCGGCAAATAGCCATTTCAAATGGTTACGAAACTGTAGCATCTCGGCATAGGCATCGAGGAAATCCCACGCCCGCTCCAGAATTCTAGCGAAAACAAGGTTCCGTTCCTGTTGCCCTTTATTTCAAACGAAATAAGTGCAGCTATAAAACGCTGCTTTATAAAGGCCGGTCTAGAGAATTCCGTAAGAGTGATAGAAATAGCACCGGACACTCTAAGACGCCAGCTATTTCGCAACCGCCTGTACGACCGTCTATGTACAACAAAAAACTGCATAATTTGCCCAAATGGTAGAGACGGTGATTGCATGAGTTCGGATATAGTCTACCTGATCTCTTGTAAAACGTGCGGGACGAATACGTTGGCGAAACGGGTAGACCACTCTGCGTACGTATAAAAAAACACCTAGTCGGCAAACGCAGTAGTGCACACAGAGGTGGCTGTTCAAAACAAGTTTCTTACAATCGCCCTCTTTGTGTGTAAAGGGAGCGAAGAAAGGAAATGAACGAGGATGTTCTTGTTGCTTGGCTTTCGGTACCACTTTGTCAAGTAACCGCTGCTTGATAGGGTTTTTTAAAATAAACAAAAGCATTGAGGGGACGATTTTGAAGTAAATGTCAATATCCTTGCACAGGAGTCCAAAACACCAGCGCGAAAACTTCTTGAGGCTTTTTGGATAAATGCCAAAAACCCTACAATGAATAGCAGGGACGAATGCCCAGAGGTCATACGCGACCTTGCCCCGTACGTTCGCATCAATTTCTGATGTGGGATGGTGCAGTCGTCAACCACATGCGACTATTGTGTCAGCTGTTCTAAACTTCCTCATTGGAAGTCACGAAAAAGCGGTGGGTTTTTTCGAGAAGCTGTTGATCATGTAATTACCAAAGAGTTTTTCGTCTTTATGTAAGTGTTATTGAAGCGTTTGGCCTAGTAGACTGTATATCAGTATACCCTTCCAGGCTCTGAAGAAGGCGATACTGCCGAAACGTCAGCTAGCGCTGTATTGTATTGTGTTTCTCTATGGAATTAAATGTATGCTGTTTAAAAACCTCGCGATTGCTGAACAAGAAAACGACACATTCTAAGATGATGGTCATTAGGATTTAAGTGGTAATCCATAAAATTCTTTCATTCGTTCTTTCGCACGGCTTTCACTCACTTGTTCGGTAGGATTTTGGCCGAGTGCTCGCATTGCAATTCCCAATTCCTTAGTCGAAATCGTACCATTTCCGTCCTTATCGAACAGTAGAAAAGCCTCCTTAAATTGATCGATCTCTTCTCCGTTGAGGTGTCTGATAACCTGAAATGGAATGGAAGTGAAAAGTGAAGACGATCTCGCGGCTATAAGAAGCGTGTGTTCCAGAAAAGCAGTTAATGCGGCTGAATGTGAACTTTTACTACGTTGTGGGCGGAAGTGGCCCATCCACCAAATAATTTAAATATTTTACTAAATTGGCAATAGTTGTATAACTCGGTAAGTAAACACCTGCTCTGATTGTTCAAAGAGAGCCTGCAACGTCCTTGTCTGTGTGCTCATCACGTCGGCCGTTCTCTGAAATCACTTTATTGCAGTGGTAGCCAAGAGACGAAGCTCTATAATTTTTTACCACATATCTGATTGGAATCCCAATACAAGAACCAAGTTCTCTCCTCAAGTTTGTTTGAAGACCCTATCAGGAATTCGTTTTTGTCCTCTATGGTTCCAGAAATGCCGGAATAAGATAGAATAAATCCTCGAATATTCTGATTACAAAATTTTCCGAATTTCAGTAGTATCTCATCTAATCTAGATCGTAGCTTCAGCTTAGTAAGCGTAGTTGGTAAGTTCTGTGTATATTACAAATACGCCAGCGTAGAAATTTTCCTATGAAGAAATATGGAGAGAGTGCTGTTAAGCAGTGAAAACGTCGTGACATCAGAACATTGTCAAGTACGACAACGATGTTGAGACATTCGCAAAATTTGGACCACGGGCCCGATCGAACCACGACTTTCCTTTGAAGGGAATCACGCATTACACAATGCACCACGAAGGCTCTTGCTCTGTGTTTCTCTCCACTAGTTTTCTATCAGTTCCATCAGCAATCATCCGTCAACGGGATTGATCTGGGGAGCCCACATCGCCATTGAACCCAGTTAGGTTGAGGCTGCAGTCGAAATCATAATGCATTTGGCATAAGACGCTGCCGTGAAAATTGTAGTAGCCAGTAAATAGGAAAGTGAAAAATGTCAAGTACGGTTTGAAGGTTATTAATTCATCACAGGGGATCCACGTTTGATCTCGCCGGTGGGTCGCCATGTCTGGATGAAATTTTCACGGCGATTGGAATGTGGTAGCACGGGAATAACATACGGAATCGATGAATAGGGCGTGAATCACCGAAAAAAGTGGTTTGAATAATTTGACAAAGTGTAGAGGAAGGGCGGGATAACACAATTAGGGCAAGCGCGCGTAAGGGTTTGCTGCAACTCCTAGATTACGGCAGGGAACCAACAGTTTGCGCGACCAACTAACTATGGACGAGCCATAACCTTCGATCGTTGCCTACTAGCAATTTTTGTGCATTATTTGGTTGTTTATGGTCACAATTGGACATACGACTCTTCTCTGTTCGCTCATCGAATCACACAATCATAGTTTCACACCGAGTTTTTAGATAGTTGCCTATTCGTCAGTTTTGTTGTCGCTTGTTTTCCGAATGAAGTACGGTTCCATTATCTTGCCGATGGTGACAAATAGATAACCAGAAGTGAATGAAGCTTTTTTATAAGGAAAATTCTTCGATAACAATAGAAGCACTCATCGCTAGAAGCTCTCGTCGAAGTGAGTGCAGTTTGGAATATAAAATGGGTAAACTAAAGATAAGAATAAGTTCGATAAAAAAAATAGTCCTTGTGTGTTTCTCAAGGCTAGAAATATGAAAATATCCTCCTACGTGCTGCCATAACTTTCACAACCAAGCAACCGCAGACATTTACTGATATTCCAGCAAGCACTTAAAAAAGCCTAAAAGGCTTTTCCAGGAACTGTGATCATCACCTGGATGGAAGGTGAAAGCTCCTTTATCATGTTGGATCTATTTCCTCCTAGAGTTTTCTTACATTTGCAACAATTCGCAGGAGAACTATCAATCAGAATTTCTTAAAAATTCTCCTTTCCTATTGTGTTTAACGTCATAACCTCACTGCAATTTAGAAGAACAAATTTTGAACTAAATGAATTTAGGAAAGGAAGATCGCACAGAAGCTAGTCCGTAAATAAAAAGGACAAAGCTCTCGCCGTTGATCAGTCCTTGAGGGATGCGCCATGCATTTGACTTCATCAAGCATCATTTGGGACTGATTTAATCTATATCTGGCTTTTACTCGCGGCGGCCTACCGATGTGTCAAGCCGGTGCTGCCCTCCTCGCAAACAAGTCTGGTGCCAATTTGCCGACCCCGGAGGGATGGAGGGCTCGGCGGGCCACAGGCGCGGTGATTGTTTCCACGTGTGTGTTGCAGGACGCATCCGACCACTGCACCACACGCTCTCTTAGCTTGTCTGTGACATGTAGTATTTATGATTCATTTATTAGGATATCGAAATGCTACGGAAATGCTACCGGTTATCCTTGTAAGAAAGAGAAAAGCGACACAAAAATGACGATAGTAAACGTGAAGCTAACCGTAAGCCTAGGACTGCTACCAACCGCGAATATCACCTACAATCCCGGTTGTTAATCGTCGAGCGTTCAGTAGGAATTCTCCGTTAACCTCCCTTAATGAGAAAGAAAATAGCAAACCTTGATAATAATAATAGTAATAATAATAATAATAATAATAATAATATCGACGACAGCTTATATTACTCTCCGTCTTTGATCACAAAACGTATTGTTATTGAGACGTAATGAAAACATGCAGTGTTCTTGACCGAAACAAGGAGGTTACCATCTCAGGAAATCAGCTAGTGTTTCAAGTTTATTAATTAATAAGTCGAATAGCTCATTGGAACGAAACGATCTTAGGTAGCATGCATGCAGGTTAACCTCAAACCAAGGCAGGATTAAAATAAACTGGCTAATAATACTAATAATACTTAATACTAATAATGCAAGTAATCGCGCTCTTATTGGCTTCCAACCGAGTGAACTGGATAGTCGAAAAATCGATCTAGCCTTTGTAGATGTGATTCGGATTTGAGCTGAACTTGTGAACGAGGAGTGGGAGCGATCGTTTTTAGAGAGAACTCCTTGATCTTTTCGGCTTAGGTCAACACCCGCAACCACTTTCGCCGCGAGGTCTGGCTGAGCCGAACACAAGCCTATTGCTTGCCTACTTGTCGCGCATCGGGAGATTTGCTGTTTATTCCGGTCACGTGGAATCAACAGTGTTTTCGTCATGTGCATTTCGCGATTTTTAACGAGAAGATATATTGTCATGCCGATTGTGAGAAGTGCATATGGTTCCCGCTCGAAGGAGATCGCAGCTCCAATGTCACAATGAAGAAACCGAGGTGGCTTTTCTTGCAGAGAGATCCTGAGGAATGGAGATTGCGGAGAAAGAAAAATTAATGCATACATTTGTGGCTGTGTTCTCAAGTCGTGGCCGGAATTAGTGACGATTTCCTTTATCAGTTCTGTAATAAAACGCTCCTCCTAGACTTGCTCTTATCTGACCTGTTCCCGACACTTTTTTCTGGTTGTAACGACCCGTCTTTCACATCTGTGCACTGTAGAGTCTAGTTCTTCTTTTATGTGTGCTTGCGTATAGGCAAGTTGTATTGGAGAACACAGTCTGAAAAGAAGCTTGAAATCGTGTGATCTGGTTATTACATGGGTGTGGTTAGGAGTTGTCTCTAACAGATGCGCCTCCTTTCTACCTAAGACAGACAAGCAAGCTTCCCGTGAAAACATTTTCCTCCACATTGGAAGCTCTTCAAGCTTTGAGCGGTTATCAAAAGCCAAATAGAGTTAAGTACATGGACTTCATTTTTGTGGGACCGAAAGACCACTAGACAGAGCCGATCTGGGTAGGCCGAATACCGAGGTGCTGCTAAAATCACAAAACCACCGGATCCTGCCTAGATATGGAAGGACTAAGGCGACGATCTGTACCAACAGTATACGCTCACATGGATCTGAACCTTCCATGCGGGAAAGAAAATCTGAAGGACGTCACATTGGGACACACAGATTAGAATGGAAAGAGTAGCGTGGATGGCTGTCTGAGTATATTATGGCCGCAAAGACCACTCATGGCACCTGGAAATTCCAGAAGCCCCACTCTCAATGCTGGACATGTGAGTCCACCATTAGAAGTACCATTATAAAATAGAACATATCAGAAGAAATCGAAGGTTTTGCTTAAGCCATGTCGCTATTTTCCCAGAATTCTACGTGGAATCGAAGCACCATCGCCTTCGCGCAAGATGCACTTTTTTTTGCCGGACGAGAGAAAGCTGTAAAGTACGAGAAACGGAATGAAAAAACCAACACAGTCTGGACTGAAAATTACTCAAATCATTATTACGCTTTCGAGAATCTGCCGTTGTAGACAGCACTGATAAGAATACGACCAACTTACTCAAAATCCTTACTTTAATGATAGAAAGTAGAGGGTTCGGAAGCAACAAAGAAGAGATGCTTCTCTAGGAATACTGAAGCCAGTTCGCCAACGGGAAATCACATTAGCATCAAGCAATCGCTAAGTTGCATAATTTGTGAAGAGCAGTCGAAGGGCACACCAAAACTTCGCCGATTACAAGACCAAGGTGGTCGAAATCGATGCTTAGACGGAACAGATGCGGCGGGCAATTAGGTAGAGATTGAAGGAGAAAATCATCTGTAATTATTTCTCTGATCTTTTTAGTAGCTATTTCATTCTGCCCTTCTATGAAATCAAGGCAGATAGATATGTCGTTCCAAATATTCTCCTTTCCGAAATCTGACATGTTGTTTCGTTGGTAATGAATTGAACAATATAAGGTCCTGACAAGATCAGACATGAACATCTGGAGAACATTCCGCCAGTCCTCATTAACACGCAAGCTCAGTTCTTAACACGTTACCTGTCAAAAATCAAGGTTCCAATTTAATGAAAGACCAACAAGACTGTGTTATTGTGCGAAAAGGAAGACTTCCACAGTATCTGAAACGGTCGCCCAATGTGCTCGATGTTTGTCGTCTATAATCTCTTCACTCGAATCATCCTAAACAAAATTAACAAAACATTATGCGAAAAACGTATATGTAAGTAAGCAAGGTTTACGAGAGGATTTAGTACGATGGACCACATCCACACGATAACGAGACTTATTGAAGTATCGCGAGAGCACAAAAAACCACTCTGTCTCCTCTTCACCCATTTATGGAAAGTTCTTGATTCAGTTGAGAAAGAGGCGGTCTCTTTGGCAACCACGGCCTCCCTACTCGGTAAATAAAGATTCTTCGTAAGGTGTGTAAAAATTTTACAACCAAAACATCACCATTCACATCACATCAACATCACCGATGTTAATGTCAAAGTAAAAAAAAGCACTGTAGGTAAGGCGATAC